CTTCTTCCTTCTGGCTTCTTGATTGTGTTTCTAAGATAAAATTAGGTCAATTATATTTATTACCTTTTAATTGTGCATTTTCCTCATCATCATCTGAATGCTAGCCATCCCCTAGCATTCGTTGTCACTTTAATCATTCTTGGTTGCCAGACCCAAAGGTATGAGGATTAATAGGGTTGTCAGGGTTGTAACTAGAGTCGCAGATGGAGGTTAGCTTTTTGGCGGTGGTTGCCGCAAATCTTGGGCGCTGTTTTTGCAAATTTTGAAGTCAGTTGGTGGGTACAGGGCTCTTATTGCTGGTTATTTTGTGCACCTCAGGTACTCCATCTCCATCCCTGTTTCCTTGTCTTTTGATATTGGCAATGGTTTGAGAAACCATCTTGGGGAGCGCCTTCTAAGCCTCAGAATGAGAGGTAGTTTTGGTAACTTTCCCCAACCATTTTTTAGAGCCAGTATTGGGTTTTTTAGCAGAGCAGTCCATTTTCGCTAGGTATTGTTTGGCCAACCCTTGTTGCTTGGCAGCATCAGAGGGTGGTTGGTTATCAGCACCGAATCTTTTTTGCAGGCACTTCTTATGATGACTTCTTACCCACCTCCTGCTTATTGGGTTTATATGCTGAACTTTTTGGGTCCTTTAGTGGTCATCCCTTCAGGGGCGACTTTTTGGGGCTGGCCTTTTTCCAGCACTCCTCCTCCCATACCGCCCACTCCACTGGAGACAGCTGAGGTGCAACTGGTTTGGGGCCCATCTCCTCATCCATCTTTTTAACGTTGGAGTTGTTATTGATGAAGGGCTCATCATCAGCTTCAGGTAGCTTAGCCGCCTACCACTCCTACGAATCTTTGTGGACTGCATCCAGCTCCTGTTGCTGTCGCTTCATGTCTGCTACCTCCATGAGGTTCTGTGGGATCCATTCCTTGGCTGTAGGATGGAGGAATGTTTTTGATCTGACCTTTGTTACCCTGCCAACCAGGTCATAGTCAAATTTGCATGACATCTTCCCTTTTTATGATGGCATTGAGCCTTTGTGTGGCCTGTCTGGTAGCATAACTGGCACACCTGCTTGGCATTCTCCTTTTCTATGTGCATAACATGGCTTAGGCCAGGCAAGTGGATAAAGTATGTCAAGGCAATCTTTTTTGACTTCTTCCATGGGGCTAGCTTGTAAAGCGCCTCCACTGTATGGGGGGCAGAGGCATTTGGCAATATAATCACTGCCAGTTTGCCTAAACTTCTAAGCCTTCCTGTAATAGGAGAGTCCAGTGTATATCGTTTCAGGACCCATTTATGTTCTCAGTCAGTTGGAAGGTTCTGTAAATTGACTCACCGAGAAGTCTGGTACCATAATGGGTTGGCTCCAGTTCAGGTAGACGTCCTTATATTTAATGCTGACTTCAAGTGCTTTTGATCGTCAAGTTCACCTGAAATTGCAATGTTGATATACCCTCTCTTAGGCACCCAATGGTGAATGAAATCACTGCCCATCAGGGCCTTATCAAGATCCTGTTAAATTAAAATAATTAAAATTAGATCATCCCTCTTCTTCCACCAATTGCAGATGGATGCGGGTAGCATCCTTGAGGTATGATTTTGGGGCTTGACAATCCATAAACCCACAGCTGATTAATTGCCAGATGTAGTCATATGACTTCTGGCGCCATTGCATGAAGATTTTTTGGAATATGCGGCCTCAGTGCTATTTGACTTTTTGGGCGTTGGTTTCAGGACGTCATCAGGGGTCTTTCCTTTCATGGTCCAGCTAATTGACTTGTCAAGGCTGAATTACCAGTTCAACAAAGCCTCCATCTGCCGCATATTGATGCTAAGGTGACTGATACTCTGAGCCATTGACATGACAATTTACACTTTTTGCAATTATGTGTGTCAGCCAACAAAAACCCCAGATGGTACCAATGTAAATCAGCTTCAGGACTATACTTCGAGTTACAATATTGCTGGAGCATTTTAAGCATGATAGAGTTTTGTAAGCACTAATTCTTCATGGTGGTTCTATTACAGCCCCCATTGGTAAACACCTTCACCATTTTGACGGGAACTTCAGCTTCAAACCAATGGAACGCCTCTGTCGGTGAGAAGCCCTTATCTGTGTAGGGGTCACAACGGTGGGTTCTACAAATGACCGTTTCCAGTCACAGATCATTTCAATCTGGATTCCAGCTTGGAGTTGATCCCTCCTAAGGTTAGTAGTTGTAACTCCCTGCATTGCTGACGCTGCTTGGGTAAAATTTCATGTTTGATTCAACGCTTTGCTGATTTGGGGATGAATCCTGCAGCATCCCAGTTGTCCGCCTCAGAAAGAGTTGTATGATCCCTACAAACTTTCCACTTTGCAAAAGGGAATGTATGGCCATGGAGAGTTTCATAAATGGGTTTAAAGACCCCAAGTTTGCCCAATCTCGGACAAGTTCTGTATATTAAACTGACTCTGAACCAATACCTCATTTTGAGTGGGGTGAAACTTTTAGCACTCAAACTTAAGACATCTTCTGGCAACCAATACTGGAAGGGCCCCCACTGACAAACTTCTCTTTGGTCCAACCTGCTTCATCGTATCAGATGTGTTTTAAGTAGTATCCACATATATGACCAGTGCAAGGCTTCAGTAGCCTCGAAACTGGCCATAATTTATGACAGTGCCTTCTCATAGGATAGTGTGGAGTTGTACCATTCCAGCATGGTGTCTACTTGAATGGTGTGGTACGCCCATTTGAGGGTGGTGAGCAATCAGGAAACGCTTCACATATGCAGTGAGAACCGTCAGCAAGAGGCCCAAACTCCTGACTTCCTGAGCAAATTTTGATGTAAGATCGGCTTTTGTTGTACTCCATTACATTATGGAAAACAATCCAAGTGTTGAGCAATAATTAGCGTCAGAAGGCTTTAAATCTCAATGGATGGTGGCTTCCACTATTTGTTGGATGATGAGGAGCTTCATCCACTCTAAGGCGTTTTCAGTGCGGATGTGTGATGACAAGAAAAGGATAGCCATCTTGAGCAAGATCTGGGCTTTCAGCCAGTGTTTAGCAGCGCCGGTGGAAAAATTTTGAAACCTCACAAAGGGCAGCAGTGGTGGGAGAGATGTCATTCATAATCCACTGGACTTTTGTTGAGTATGGTAATTGGAAGGCCTTCTATTTCTTAATATCTTGGGAGGACACACCGTGTTATGAAATCATGTCCCTTTGGATGAGTGAATACTTGTATGGTGCTTTGGTTGAAGCACTGGGTGATGGCTTGCTCATGGTGGCAGAGGCAGATCCATCTATCAAAACTTTACCTTTTCATTAAGTTTAATTGGTTGTCAGATCAGTCAGATTCAGAATCTGAATCTACTGTAACAATGTCAGGGATGTGGCTTAATGAATTTGGCAATTGAGCAGATCAATTTAGCTGAGTACAGTCCCCGCTGTAATTATACTTTTGCTAAGATTTATCCTGACGAATTGTTGATTAAGTGGATAATTTTTTTCGTAGTTGTCCCTGCTTCAACTGTATTTTTGTCATGAATAATGCCCAATAAATTTGTTGGTGATTGACTTAGCTTGTGTCAGATTCAGATCCTGATGAAACTGGAACTTTTTTGGGGCTTGTGATTGAAAACTTTGGTGAGCAATTAGTTGTTCAATTGGGCCAAGGAGTTCCAATAATATTATGAAACTGATAGACTTGTTTTGCTGCTCCCCGCCCCAAACTCTCTTTAGCAAGTCCAGTGGACTTTTTAGGGCAACTGGTGCTGACTCTACCATTAGAGAGTCTTTCTTCCATAATGGTTATGTGATGGTATTGGTCGCTAGTGTTTTTACCTCCAAAGTTGATAAATAATAATGTTTTGGACGCATTAGATGCTGGAGTGGTTGCCAAATCACATAAAATTGATCAGGTGCCAGCTCTGACCAAACTATGGCAGGTGTTTGTGGGAAGTGATCTGGTGTATACATTTATCAGTCAGAGGACTTCAGTTTAATTTTATTTATCAGGATTGTGCACAACTTAGGCATGGGATAAGATGCCAATTTTCTTGAAGCTAATCAGGCACCGTTACCAATATTACTGTGATAAGATTTGGCTGAAAGTCATCGGATGGAGTTTCTCTCCATTGCAGAGTACTTAGTTGTACCTTTTAACAAGTGGTAACATGAGCAGGCTGTCCATTTCTTTGAGCTAAGCACAGATGGGCAAAGTCTCCTACATATGTTGTTGTTGTCTGTGAGGTACTGCTCTATATGCACAGTATCTCAAAATCAGGCAGTGTATTCTCTCTGAACTAGATCTGGTCACTTTCTTTTTGAAAAAGTGATGCTTATATGAGTGAGATGAACACTGAACAAAGTTAACTCTATCAAATAAAGTTTTATCCACTTCCAGATTGGTACTCAGATTTTTTGGTTACATAATAGCTAAGGTGTTGCTGTTGTTTGACTTATTAACCACCAGTAGGAACCTTCAACTGGCACCCCAATCAATGTGCAAAGGGCATAATAAAACTCACATCCTTCAGATTGGTAGTCATATGCCCTACTAACTCAACTTACATCCTCAGGGTATCTTTATTACATATTTGTCATTTTATAGAAATATGTCAAAAGTATGTTAACTGTAATGGATTTAATCATGCCAAGGGTACCATCATACTTTTTGATAAATCTTTATACAAGATGATTAATTATAAGGGAGGATACCCCAGTGGTAGAGTGTGGACCCTCTACCACTGCCTCCCAAGTTTGATCCCAGTAATGGACTTTGGGTAGGGAACAATTTTGACTGTGTTGGTTTTGCGTGCCAATGCCCCAAACTGAGATAGCGAATAGCAAAGGCGGTCCATGGAGTTCCTGTCCTATCATACGCCGCGCATGGAGGTTTTCCCGGTTTTATCCTCCTTTCCCATTTTCTTCACTTCCCTAATCGGTGTGGTACCATCCCCAGGTCAGCCCACCTCGAATAAAATTTAAAGATGATTAATTATTTGGTTCTAAAATTAGGGGAATTAGCTCAAATTGTAGAGCGCTCACTTAGCATGTGATAGGCATGGGGATCAATACCCCAATTCTCCACATAGTTTACTTTTACATACGTTTTGTGCTTTGTTGCAAGTTAGTGTCTTTATATTAACTTTTATATAATCTATCTATTTTAGGTATATTTTGTCACTTTTATTTCTGATACTCTATCTAGTATTTCCTGTATAATATCTACCACCCTTTTTGTCTCTTTTTATCATTGATATAGCTTAAACTAACTTCTTCATTAGCAGTTATATTTGTTTATGATAGAAATCTAATATCTATGAACTAAGTTATTAAAAGAATACCATATTTACATTGAAAAAATATATATAAAGCATTGCTCCAAGATGGTCAAATTTGTACTTTCACTTATTTAACTAAATTTATATCAAAATACTTTATGTTTGTATTTATAAAACCATTTTTTAAAGGTTTACACCCTTAATAACTGAGTAAAAAGTCATTTTTTCTCTTTATTATACGTCAACCCCATATTATTTTTTAGCCAACCTTCATATCTTCATAATCAAGGTATGATATAAGAGAAAACTCAAAGTTATTAAATATTGCTAGTATCTTGAATGTATATTATTAACTTTATGTCTAGATATAGCTTGTGTGCTATGCTTAGAATTCTGATTGAGGATTTATTATCTGAATGATCTTAAACCCTGTTTCTATGATATAGATTATTTAACTTTATGCACCATGAAAAAAACTCTATGAACTATAATTTTTTAACACTTAATGTGACAATGATTGCTTTGTAAATTTTTACAAACTGATAATTTAGCTTAAAGTAATTTCAAAAAGATTAAATGAATTAGATCAGAAGTTTTATTAATATCAGATAGTAAACAAATTCATATATTAAGATTAACTTTTTAACCAAAATCACTTACATATACTACAGGAGTGGCGGCATATTCAGTAGTGCATATCATTAGCATCATGCTGGCAAATATCTAAGTGTACCATCTGCATACCACCAAGGCATCTGTCCATGGACTCCTATTGGTTGATTAAGTATAAGGTTAGTCAGAAATTTCACATATAAAATATTACAAATAGTAAGAAAAAGCAATTCAGAAAAACATTTAACAAGTCAAGTTTCACAATAATTTGAATGAAAATTTCTTTAAATAATATTTTCTATCTATCTTAATAATCTTTGGTAGGGTCTATCCCCTGGTCAGTCTGTCTCAAATATTTTATTTGATAAAAATAATGTATAAGAGTATGTAAATTTTAAAGTACTATAGATAAAAATATTTTTAAAAACTAGCAAGTACTTTAATTATATATTACATATAAGAATTTTTCAACGCTTTTATGATTATTATAATAAGCATAGTTAAAGTTGCTAGACTTTACCTTGTAGTCATATAATAATTTTTCCAAGAGAAAAACTTTGGTCAACTTAATGTAAGTTTATGTATTTAAAAATGTAATAAAGATTTTTGACAACATAAGTCCCAGCTGTGTTTTGCGCTCTATAAATTTAATTTCATAATGAATTTAATTAGTTTTCTCAAGAAAGACCTCTATCAGTAAATATTTGAGTAACTTTTAATAAGCTTCACAATCACGCTGAGGGTACAACTACAAAATAATGATGGTTAGAGAATAAAAAGTCACTCAAACACAAGAGTAAATGATATGATACTCAGTTTATGAGGTTTCTACAGTCTAACAAAGATAGTTTTCTAGTTCCCTATATCTCATCTTTCTATGTCTTTTACCTTTCATGGTTTTTACTCAGCTTTTGATTTTTTGGCAATTAGTAGGGTGCTTTGTAATCTTTACCTGAGTTGGATGTGTCATATGATGCTTTATATATCTACTAGATCCCAAATTAAATCACATAATGATGCTGGTGTGACAGTTTTATTGTCATCATAAAAAATCAGGTTATACGTAGAAATATTGTGATTTGCATCCTATTTATAGTTAATTTTAGAATGGGTTGTAACATGGGTCCTTGGTGGGCTTTGCCCTGATGCAAGGGAAACCTTGACTTTGTGTTTCTAAATGGGTCATATTTCTAAACCCCCTCATACTATATTTAAGTAATATTTTATTCTTTTATGTGCTATTGGGCCAAAAGCCCAAAATTATCGCCTTTCTGATATTTCACTGTTGGTCAATGATTTAATGAGCTAAAGGGCCAAAAATCCCTTTTAGATAAGAAGTATCTAACTTTAACTAATCCCATATTACAAAATTGACCATATCAAATTAAACTATTCAAGAGAAATTATCTTAACAACCCACTCTGACAAGCTTATGTAATTTCTCCCTACTTTTGCCTAGTCCCTATTACTCCTAATCTATTAAAAAGCTAGGATGAATCCAAAAAAGGACTGTTTTTACTTATCAAATCTTTGCCTATTTTAATAACTAGTGATATTTCCTAATCAAAGAAAAGTGATTTGCCTTGGTTCAGCTAATCTGCCAAGAGATTTCCCTAGGGAAAGAAAGTTCCCTGGGTGATAGCGCTGGTGATACTAATGACTAAATAATTGTATATCCCTTAAAGGACCCGCCTCTGAATTTTATTATAAAACCAGAACTGGTGATCCTGCCAGGTACCCTTCCAAGGCCACCTGTTGAAGCCATTATTCACAAGGAACAATACCAGCGATAAAATGAGTGTGCACTAATGGGTCCACTCAATCAGTAAAAATTCAACATTCTTTAATTAAATTTAACAGGCGCAGTCTTACAAAGAACTGTTTGATGAAGCTATTACTATCTTGCACAGCTCCTGCTCTGCTTGTTAAAAATTTATTGAGTCAAAAATACGTTTATTAATTGGATGGATGCCTACCAGATGATTGAATTTAAATATAATACCAAAATCAGACGTCAAGCTGATAAAGTATTACATAAAATAGGACATTACGCTAAATCCCCCCTAACCATCTTGATATTGTTGCAGCAGTTTCCCACTGTAAGGAGTAGATAACACAGTTCTGTGTTGAGCAAGAGAATTCTACTACAAAATTCAAGGACTAAAATAGATTGATCAAGTTAAGTACCTCAGCGCCATCTCTGGTTCTCTGCGCTAAAGCTTCAGGCGCTAGTGACGCTTAAGTTAAAGCAACCAACCCATATATATTCTTGGCGTCAAATTATTTACCTGCACCAACTTTTAATGCCGTTTTTCTGATTAAGCAGCCAACCTAAATGCCTCAGCGCCCCTTACGTTCCTCTGAGCCAAAGCTCCTCATTTTTTGAGCAATGAATTTGAAACAAACAACTTGAAATCTGTTGCGCCATCTCCAGTTACCTGCACTGACGCTTCCTGCTGTTTTGCTGATGAAACAGCCAATCAAAAAGCTTCATTACCCACTCCATTCCTATGCACTGACATGCCTTATTGCTTTCGCGCCAAAACTAGATTATTGAATCCCCACAGTTAAACCTTGACTTTAGTTATGCAGTTGCATTGGAACCTCCTAACAAGACGAATTAAGCAGCCAGCTCAGCCAGCTCCCTCACCAATCTGTTTACAGATGTCAAGATTCACAGCTATTTTAATAAGTTAGCCAAACCAAATGATTTGCCACAAAGTTTTATTCCCCTTGGCTGAGGAAACTAAAAATCTTAACAACTCCATTTGGGTAAGTTAGGCCAAGTGCCCTTGAGGCTAACATGCACTCTCACTCCATTTATGTCTCACACTATGTCATCTCTAAAACCACCCTTACGCTAACACTGGTAACTGGGCCTCCACATCTGAGGTGTAACTCCTTACTGAGGCCCCACAAAGTAAAAATAATTTTCTTGATCCAATTGAGTCAAGGATCACCGCAACCAAAACCTCCCCCTTGAAAAATTTATCTTCAGTTTGGGAGAGATGCTTGGACCAGTTGAGTCAAACGCGTTCAGATCCAATCCACACCCATTTACCAATTTGACTAGCTTTGAACCCTTCATTTATTAATTGGTTTTTGCTAAAATTTTGGGCTTCACTAAACACCAAAAAATCAAAACTACCTGACCTAACCAATTGAAAGGATCAAATGATTTTTCACACTGATCAGGAGATTCCCTTCAGCAATCCACCAACTGCTGACTTAGTGGTTGATTCTCAAAATCAAACCTATGGGGCCCACCACATGGAATTAGGATTTGCTTCGATGATCTACAATGTCTCACCAAGTCAAACTTAAATTCCCATGTTTTAACCATTACTTATGATCTTCAGCTTCATATAACAGCTAAACCTCCCAATTTGGATTTTGGGACTAACCTAACCCAAGAATATTGTCTCTAGCAAAGCAAGACAGGCTGAACCCATTAGGCCCCCAGCCAAATTGGGGGTTGCCCCATTCAGCTCAGGCAATGCAACTGTCCACCTGATGAGGCTTGAAGGGGGCACTGTTGGGCTTTTCCTGATGCAAGGGAATCCTCAACTTTGTGGGTTTTAAATGGCATATATTGTTAAGCCCTCATATTTATATTCAAGCAATAGTTTCTTAATCAATGCGCTGCCATGCCAAAAGCCCAAAATTATTGTCTTTTAGATACCAGACTGTTGATCAATGCTTTGTTGTGTCAAAGTATCAAATTTACTTATTAGTTAAGAACTATCTAATCTTGACCAATCTTTAATTTTAAAATTAACCATTCCAAATAAAATAATTAGGAAGAATCGCATTGACAACCTCATTCCAACAGGCTTAAGCGATTTCTCCCTATTTTTCTATTCACTATTTTCCCTTGCATTATTAAAGGGCTAGGATGAACTCAAATAAAGGGCCATTTCAATTGTCCGTTTTTTGCCTGGTTTAATAACTAGTTACTTTCTTGTTCCAAAAAACAGTGATTTGCCTTGGTTCAAATAAGCTTCCTAGAGATTGCCCTAAAGAGAGAAAGTCCCCTAGGTGATAGAACTGCTGCTACTAATGATTAATAATCGTTTAGCCTTTAAAGGACCTTTTTCAAAATTAATTAAAAAGCTAACAGTCCTTTTATGTTTTTATTAACTCTGAATATCTGATTGCAAGAATGTAACAACTCTGAACTTTTCTAAAAATTTA